CCCCCCCCCTCCCTCCCTCCCTGTTCCATTGCTGCCGAGTTTGGCTTTGCCTCTCTCGGCCATTTCTGCCCCTGGGGTGGCTGGGAAACGGGGAAGAGGAAAGAGAGGGGAGGGAGGTTGAGGACATTCTTCGCGTCAGCGATCACGATAAGGGAAAACTGCGGACGCTATCGCGCGAACCCACGCGGTGTAAAATGGTTTGTTCTGGAGCGCGTTGGACCGGATAAAAAAAAGAAAAGAAAAAAGAGGCTCAGTCGATGATGTCGAGCGTGTCTGCCCCACTCACTGTGACAAATGATGCGCGGTCCCCTCTCTCTCTCTCATTTGCGGCGGCGAAGGCAATACGTCTGGTGGGAGTGGACGTTTTGTGTAAACGAATGTTGTTTTGATTGCAGGTGGCCCTCAAGCTGTCGGCGCGCAATGCCCTGTCGGTGAAGCTTGCGCTCGCGCCCACCCTGGGCGAGGAGAAGACCAACCACCACCTCAAGAATGGCGACGTGGCGCCGCCAGTACCTGCCGCCAACAACAACCACAACCACAACAACAATAACAACAACAACCAGCAGCACCACAACAACCACAACCACATCAGGCACTCGGCCGCTTCGGTAAGTGGTGGCTTTCCCCATGTCGCGTTGCCGTTTGTCTTCGTACTCATACAGGGTACAAGGAAGCTCCCAATTACTTTCTGGGAACGAGTAAAGTGGCATGATAAAATTTAGAATAGAATTTATGGGTGGCGGTGGGTTTCCTTAAAACAAACGTGTCGAAGTGGTTACGGCTTTCAAAGATGGCCAATGAGCCTTCGAGGCCGCTAAAAATTTCGTGCAGAGGAAAGGCGTGCGAGCGTGTGTGTGTGGTTTGGGAGGGCGGAGGATGCTATTTGTAGAAGAGGATCATTGACGCGTACTCACCCGTGCCTGCTGCAACAGTGTGGTGCAAAGTGCTGTAGGTAACGAAACGTGACAGAGGACGGATGGAAATGGAGAGCTGTGGCTGTGATAATACACTGGCTAGTCTATTATTTCGCAAATGCTCTGCTCTGCGAAAAAATAAGGGGCTGGTATTCGGTTTCGCATTTATTGTGCAGTTAAGCGAGGGGCCCAGAACTCAGAAATTTTGTGTACTCTGCATCAAATGTTGAATAGATCGTTAGCATCACTGCGTTATTAAATACTAATTCTGGGCTTGGACCGTGAATATCCGGAGTTGTTCACCCCTCGCGGCTGTGTGCTTGGTTCGCGGTGTCGTATATGAAAGTAAATCACGTGATGATGATGAGGGGGCGCCCGGGGCAGAGGGGAATAATTGAAAATATAAACAAATTGTGTCTGTGTGTGGAGCACGTCCATATTTATGTGCGACTGGCGTGCTGAATAATAAACGGCCCTAAGCGATGCCGCCGCTTTGAAGTGATGGGATGCGCGCCGGTGACGCGCGCGACGCGCCGTTTGGAAAATTCATTTGAGGAGAGCAAAAGCTGCGCGCGGCGCGGAGAGCATTGTGTGCGCATGAGCGCGCACTCACACGCTGCTGTGTGAGCGGGGGAACAACACGTGCTTGAAATGTCAAAACAAAAGGGAAACATTTTCCCCCCGGAATCTCTGCTGCTGCTGCGCCAACGACGCGGCGGCGGCGGCCAGCGCTGCTGTGCTGCTCAGCGAGCCGTGCGCTGGTAGTACGTGTCGCGGCCGCGGGCCGGGCCGCGCGCGGCAGCACCGGTGCGCCCGCGGAGCCGCGGGGCGTCGCGACGCTCGCGGTTCGGCCGCCTGCCGCCAGGGCGCGCCGCGCGCCGCCGCCGGGCTGTGCTCGGGGGAGAGCCAAAGCCACAGCCGGCAGTCGGGCCGCGGCGCTGGCTGGCGGCGCGCTTGAGGAGTGGACGCTGTGCCGCTCCGCGGCCGCGGCGAGCCTTCTCTCGCGTACGCCAGACCGCAGTCGCGAGAGGGGCAGAGACGCTTCTCTCTCTCTCTCCCCTCAGGTCCCCTCCCCCCCCCCCTCTCCCTCATTCTCTCTGAGACACACACATACGCACGCTCGCATACATATACAACAGTCCGGTCGGGATAATCCTGTGTCGCATATACCCTTGTTGCATAATGGTGTGTAAACATACTGTCGTGTGTGTTTTGTGGTGTGTGAGGTGTGTTTGTGGTGGTTGGGGGGGGGGGGCGAGCACACGGAGTCCGGTTAAAGGGCCGTATCATGTTATGAATTTACGGCGCGCGGTAATCGTCCCCGACGGCGGGGTGTAACATGGAGCGGGTTGTAAATCCCCTCGCCTCCGCTCCGCCCGCCGCGGCGCTGTCGTTGGCGATTCCGCTTGATTTACGACAAAACGCCCACGCCCTCAAGATATAGCGATTGCTGAAACCCTCCCCTCTCTCGCTCCCCCGCCCTCCCCTCTCTCGCCCGCTCGATCACTCGGTCGGTCGAATAGGTGATCCAGTGCGCAGTGGCTGCCGCGGCGCGGAGGGCCCCGCGGGGGCTGCTGGCCCGGCTGCTGGTCGTATCTCTCTCCTCTAGATTCAATTGGGTTATTTGTCCCCATCCCCTCTAGTGCCACCCCCGCAGCTGTTGCGATCCCCCCTCCAGATGTATGAATGTGCGGCTGCCGCTCGCCTGCTCGCCCGTCGAATACTTTATGACGCGACGCCGGGGGGCCGTGAGTTTGAGCGTCATGAATTTCAACCGTCAAAAGCAGCCAGCGTTGCAGCCCAGCGGTGCCTTTATCCGATCTAAATAACAAGTGTCGGTGGTCAGGAGAGAGGGGAGAGTAGAGGGACTCACTCAGCTGGGTTTGAACAAGAGCTTTTGAATACGGGAAACTTCGGGATGCGCGCTGCCCCTGCGCCAGGAGGAGGCCCGAGGCCCGCAGGCCCCCAGCTGCCAGCCTCACTGACTGACTGTCTTCACATCTCCTTGATCACGAATTTATGGCGGAATAAAGTCGTAACGAGCGCTGCGAAGTAGTGGAGGGAAATAGAAATCTTTTATGTGCGGCGCAGCTTGGCAGCGGGCGAGCTTGGCGCGCCGCAGGGCTTGAGCCCGTGAGTAAAATATTATGTATAAAAGAAGAACAAAACAAAAAAGGTGTTGCGTGCTGTATCGCACTTCAGCGACACGGCCCCGCTACTTGATCTGCTCGTTTTCTTTTGCACTGCGTAGGTACGTCTCCCGTCTTCTTTCATTTTTTGTTTTCTTGTTGTTTTCCTTCTTTTCATGTTATATTCTCGTTTACGATTGTCATTCCCCCTTTTACAGCTCATTTTATTACTGGCGCATGTCCGTTTCCGTTAGGGAGCACCCCTCCACCGGCCTGGGGCCTCACCGTCTCCCTCTCCCCGCGGAACATGAACTTTTTATTTTTATTATTTTACAGGCCACTACTAAAATGGAATTTCAGTTAGTAATGTCCAGTTTATTGACCGTAATCGTGTTTGTCCGCCACATAATTTGAGACCCCGCACGCGCGCCGGGCTCAGCGAGGGCGAGAATGGAGAGAAGGGAGGGGGGGGGGGGGGGTTTGGGCGCGAGAAGTTTGGCGTCTTGTGTCTTTTGCGTCTTCTTTATTGTGGCATTGCGTCCAGCGAAAGGAGCCGGCCGTGAAATAAAAGTAAAAAAAAAAAAAAATAACGGGGGGAGAAAAAGGGCGCCATGCCGCGCGGGACGGCGGTGCCATTTCGGACCTGGTGATGACGTCATTTAAGGATGTCATTTGGCGGCGAGCGGGCGGCCAGAGGGGGCGGCGGAGGGCTGAAGGCCTCGCTGCACTCAAACGGCCCAATTCGCCGCCACCGTCTTTTTGCGCCCCATGAATTTAATGCCACGCTGTTGGCTCGCCGTTGGAGGGCTTGTGTCGGTGGCGACGCGACGCTCTCCTCCCGCGGGAAAGGCTCTCCCGAATCTGGGGCTTCGCGCCGCAAACTGACGCGGCGACGACGCAACCGCTTTCAGGAAAGACGATCGCTCTTATCTCGACTGTTGGCGAAACAGATCAATCTGAATAAATGGAGGGGGGGGGGGGTTGTGATTAGTTTGGAGTGGAATGTCGACTTTATCAGCGAGCTATGTGGCTGGCTTGAGAGGGAACAATGTAGACGGGCAGTGTAGCCTATTCTGGGAAAAAAGTTGTGACGAATAAAAAAATTGACATCGCGCAAGGCTACAGCAAGAGGGACGTCTGTCTGACTGGTTGCACGAGAAAATGAAATATCAGGATAAATGAAGGGGAAAGGGTATGAGGAGAAGGAGGCACAAGAAATGGGAACGTCCTGGGCGACATTCCAGGTACGCTGCGCTGCGCTTGCAAGCTGGTCACGCAGGGGGCCGGGCCCGGGCCGGGCGGCTGCTGTTTACACAGCACACGTCGCCACGTCAATCAAGACTCAATTAACGCACGGGTCGCCGCGGGTGAATGGCTTAATAGAAGCAATGACTGGAAACCCTTCCCGACCCCTTCCCCCGCTCTCACGCCGCACGCGCGCGCGCGCACACCGAGCCACCATCACGACGACGACTGGCGCGCCGTCACCAGGCAGCGCGACCCCGGCGCGTTCGCGGAACCGGCGGTCATAACGTTATAGTGTTCGCCATCGTGTTCTCGAGTGTGTGTGCGAGTGAGAGAGAGATGGGGGATTTTTTCCTTGTGTTTTTCTCTCTGTTTCATCGCTGAAGCGTGTTTCTTTTTCTTTATATTATTTGGAGCTGTTGCTGCCTCAGATGGCGAGAGAGCCGCGACTCCGCACTGCCGAGGATAGGAAGGTGTACAAAAAAGTTTAATACATTCGAGGCGGTCACTTCTCCGTATACGCGCCTGAAAAATGGAATGAGGCTATGTGTTTGTACGAAAGTAAAGTGCAAGTGTAATTGTGGGGTAGTAAACTATACAAACATTTCGAAATGGTTTTTCTTCTAAAATGTGGAGCTGAAATGTTGTTCCTGATTGGTAGAGTGTAAGAGGGCCGGACTACTGTTTCGGTTCGGTGCGCCCTTGTGTGAGTAGCGGAGGGTGATTAGAATTGGCCACCGGCTAAGCGTCGTCGGCTGGGGAGCGTGGAGTGGTGGGAGTGACGTTTTCGTTGTGTAATTTGCGGTCAAGTGTGGCGGCCGGCCTAAGGGTCGCTGCTCCCCCTGGGCTCTACCCGAGGCAGGCCCGGCCGGCCCGGCCCGGTGCGACATATGGCCCGCGGCATCAAGCTGTCAACGAGACCCAAAGGGGTGCGGCGGGGTGTGTGCGCCTCGGCCAGGGGCAAGCCTGGTGGGGCCGGCCTGGGGACGGGCCGAGGAAGGGATGGAAAGGGTGCAGAAGGTGAGGGAGAGAAGGGACGCCGGTCCGGATGGGGGCGAACTGGGGACCGGACGGGTAAATGACGCATGGTGCACACACACACGGCGGAGTTAGGGATCTTATGGTGTGATGATGCACGGTGCGCACCGGCGTTGCGCGCGCGCCGGGTATGGCTGGCTAAACGGCGGTGCAGCTGTTTGATGATGACGCTCGCAGCTGCGGCAGCTGCTGCTGTTGGCGCCTCTGCCACTCGCGAGGAGCGTTTTCCGGACCGCTAAGTGTGTCCCGCGCTGCGGTAAATAGCTCGCCTAATTGGGGCGCGCACGCTAACGCGTGCCGAGGATGTTATCTGCCGCGAACCCGCGAGAACTTCTCCGCCTCTGTGTGTGTGCATGTAAACGTACACACAGGCGCGCGCACACACACACACGTGCGTACTTACACCCACAACACACTCGCGGGCACACATAAGTTCTAACCTATACGCGGCGCGCAAGTTTCGTGGGGTGCCGCCGTTTGCGGCGGTTCGCGAAGGGGAAATGACTGAAGGAAAGCAGGCTGCGGATTACACCTTGGAAAAGTTTCATCGAATAAAACCAAAAATACTAAACTTGGTCTGTTGTTTTATTTTGTATCTTTCGCTAAACTGACACCTCGCTGTTTGCCTTTCCGTTTTGCAGGCCAACCAGGATTTGGGGACAAGTGACGACTCTGGCCGGGCATCAGAGCGGCTGAATGGCGCGTCTGTGGACACGTCACACGACCGGCTGAGCGATGTAAGTATCTCCCACCCCCGCCTCTCATCCTCCCCCCAGAGCCCGGCCTTCAGGCGGGTAAGTCGCCGCGCGTGGCGTCCCGAAACCAGTAGCGCATGTGCTGCTATCTGTGTGGTTTATCTTTCAATTATCTTCCATTTTATTGGGTGTGTAGAGAAGTCTTATATATGTGTTCCCGTTCTTTATTTCTTTTTTTTATACTCTATTGTGTTTTAAAATAATAATCGTCAGAATGCCTTGTTGAAGCATGTCGTCAGAGCTTTCCAGTCAATGTGCCCTACTCCTGTAATTGAGCTAGCCTCGTCTGCGTAATTTGGCTCACTAATTTACGTGTACAGTGACCTTTTTCTAAAAGCTTATATTAAGGTGTGCCAGAGCCACCATCTTAAGAACTGGAGACGCCCGTGGCTCTAGGACATGAAAAGAAAGTACATGTTTCAAAACGTCATTCACACGGTTAGAGGGATCGTCACGCACACTGGAGCGGTGGAAGCATTGCATGGGCACCTAACGCACCCCAGGACGTGCTCTGGTGCTGCTTGTAGCGCGCTGTAAGCCTCCTTCTTACCTCTCAGGTTCTACCCCCGCTCCAGAGGCGTTGGTCATGGCCTTCGTCCGACCGTGTCCCGCCAGGGTGCGGCACTAGCGCTGTCAAATGTGCTTGTCTGCCCCTATCGGCATTTGTCGGAAGTGAAAGCTCACGATCTGCTGTAGAGTGCGGTGTTAAACCCCTGACTTCAATTATTTCGTGTAAATATCTCAGAAGAGGGAAAGGTAGCACCTTTTACTTGACTTCTTGTCGGTGTTCGGGCCTATATTTGTGCTAATTCAACGGACGGATATTTGTAGCTGAAAATCAGACCGGTGGTCGAGTCTAGCACCAAACTGTCGATTCATATTTTTGCCGTCTCTTGTTAAACGCCAACGATCTTTATATCCCAACAACGCTATTAGTTTTACTCCAAAGACTTATTCAGTAAAAATCAGTTCACCATCGTCGGTACCATTTTTACCTAATAATTCTCGAAAAGTAGTAATTCCTTACTGATTATCCAATTCGGGACCATTTGATTACGGCATAAATAAATGTTCAGTTAAAACATTTCTCTACACTGGAAATGCAAGTGTGTGAATGTCGCTCACCTGCAGGTGAGCGACATTCCACTTGTACACTTAAGGGAGTAAAGGTGTGAATTTTTCCTAGAATATTCACACGTTTACCTCCCTAAGTGTACGAATGAAATGTCGCTCACTTGCAGGTGAGCGACATTCACACACTTGCATTTCCAGTGTAAGTAAAATTCTAGAATTTAAATAATTTTACCTGATGACGAATTAAGTAAGTTATCTTCAGTTCTATAGGGGTAGCCTGCTAACCTCACTTTCCCGCCAGTTAAGCCCCACCGTCCTTGTATATTTAGTCGAACGTGCTGGCCGCGCACAAATTTAATCTCTGTGTTAGTTTGCACCCCTTTAATTGCTTTCTCTGCCCTATTTAATCTTGGCCATTTCGAATTTATTTGTGTTTGCAGGGGAGCAGTCGCTGCAGCTCTGGAAGGGGATATATCGTGAGTACAACCATTATTCTCTCTTGTTTGTCTCTGTTCTGCTTGAAAAAAAATCAATTCGTAAAGTTGGTTTACAAATAACCAATGTTGTCAAACACTACGATAGCTAACAGTGCCGACCCGCGATCGCTTGCTCTGTTTTGTTTGCGTGTTTGTGGTAGCGTGTTGAATGCTTTTCTGTTGCAAACGAGCACGCGCATACAGACGCACTTACACACTCACAGAGTTTGGTTGGAACTGCGACGAGTTTGCGGGAAACGCGCATGTTTCCCTTGGTAGTGTCTCTTGCTCTCTCTCTTCCCCCTCTGTGTTTGCTTTTGTAGTTTTGATGTAGTTTTGATGAACTGTTTTGTTGTACGCGTGTATGATGGAAGTGCCGGCTGATGGGGTGCAGCGCGACGCCTCGCCGTGCCTGTCACCAGCCAAAAGCACAATCTCCCCCGCCCCCGTCTTGCGCCACGCCTCCGCTCGAATAGATTCCATACTCCCTCCCTCTTTCCCTCTTCCCCTCTCTCTCTCCCTCCTCCCCCCGCCCCCTTTGCGCCGCCGTCATCCTTTTAGCCCCTTTACAGCACTTGTCGTCGTCTGCAAATTACACGCCTTTTGCCTCGGATTGCGGGCTGGGCGTGGCGTGGCGCGGGGTAATCCTTACCCGGGCCCGGAGTTGTTGTCGTCCCGGCAGCGCGTCGCATAAGCCGGCGTGTCTCCAAACAGACACTGCAGTAGCTCTGGCAGGTCGGCGTCGGTGTCGGTGTCGGTGGTGGTGGTGGTGGTGGTGGGTGATGATGGAGTTGCTGGTGGTGGTGGTAGTGTTGGTGATGAGGTCGGGTACGTAAAAAGGTTTGGCGGCGCTCGGTGAGCAAGCGGAAGGTTGGG